GGAGTGCCTAAGTTTCCTGTCCCTGCACTAAGCCTGGTTAGACACAGGGCCTGGAGTCCTGTCATGGCTCTGGGATTGGAAAGGATTTGCAGAGTAGAAGCCAGGACTGGGGGCTTAGGAGATATAAGTTGCCCTTGTGTGTATCTCTTTGACCCTTCCTATGAAAATACCCACAGGAGAGGCCCTACAACCTCCTAACATCTGGCTGTAGTTCGCCCCTATGCTTGGGCAAGCTGGACAGACATTCAGGCCTGTGGCCTCCCAACCCTGCAGAGTTCAGGAATATGCCAGTCCTGCAGATGGGCTATCCTTCTGCATAGCACCTCTGCTCCCTATGCCTTTGTACTGCCATTGATTCTTTCCTCCCACAGCGATGCCAGGGATTTGGCTTTCAACATCGTTGTGCCTCTCCTAGGATCCACCAAAGCCATTCATGAGGAGCCCCTGTGCCTCAGTACTGCTGTTGCCATTGGCGCCTTGCTGAATACCACCCCACAAAGCCATCTTGACTGTGGTTGTGTTGTGAGGTGGGATGGCGATGTATGTTATTTCTGATAGGGTCAGTGTTAACTGACTCCAGGAATGTTTACAGGGGACAGTGCCCCAGAAATTGGCATTTACAGCCCTGCTCCAATGGACCCCTTTCCCACTTGCTGTGGGGCCTCTGCAGGATTTGGGGGAGGAGGAAGTAAATTATGGAACCTGTCCTCCCTTCTTTCCCCTCCTCACTGGCCTATATCCACTGCCAGTCTCCTCTATTCACATTAGTGATCAGCCTGGGATCCTGGAAATCCATTTGCCATGGGGAAATGCAGAATTTGTGTTTTTACAAAGAATCTTAAGTTTTTGCATTTGGTGAAAAAATAAAAACATATATAGTAGAACCCTCTTTATCCATGCCTTCCTTATCCGGCTCTCTGTATTAACCAAACTGGACCAGTGGGGCTCGGGCTGACAGCCCCGGGCTCCCACTGACAGTGCCGAGCAGCGGGGTTCCCACTGTCAGCCCAAGTCCCACCACCCGGGGCTGACAGACATAGAAGTATTTGGTACATGTAAGAAATACAAATTGCAATTCTATTAATTTTATTTGATTATAATGATTGATGTCACTGGTAGACTTCCAATTTGTTTAAAAATTGTAAATATATCAGTAAAATATTGTGTTAGACTGATACCTATATATAGGGTGGCTAGGGAAATTAAAATGCAGTGTTACATTTTAATCACAGAAAAACATGGATTTTTATGTATTTTTTATTGGAGAATTTTGATTTTTTTTCATGAAAAATTAGGATCCCTGGTGGTCATGCCCATAAGGGTCTCATGTCATGTAGCAATTATTTTCAGTGACACGTGTGCTGCTACACAACAAGCAGCATTTTGGATCTTATCCCAATATCCTGAAATCTGAATCCTGTGCCCCAGAGGAATCCTCCAAACCCTAGCAAAATTTAACGGGAAGGAAAAAAGTTCCATTACATTTCTTCAGCCTCACGTACCTTCAGTAAAGTGCACAGGATACAGAGTTGCTTTGCTTATATGCTCACAAATACTCTGCAACAGCTACTGTCTGTACCATTAACCACAACTGTCTGTTCAGATGGCCTGTGCTGTGCTGGTGCTCTATGATGTTATACCATGGGCTGACTATTGTGCATTTAGCAGCAGTCCAATGGAGGCTCATCAGTGAATGCTCTGACAGTATACTCTTCTTGCTGTAGATCATAATGGAAGTCACATGATGTGGTTTCATTAAAACACAGACATTTTGGCTCCAGCAGAATAAATTTCACTTTCATTTTTGTGGAATGCTATCAGGATAATAAACACACTGCAAGGTTTGTTTTCTTATTTCAATAGGCTTCATAGACCTAAAAGAACATATTTGAACTCGGTAATTGATCCTTCCTCTCATCTTTTTATTTTCTTTTTGGTAGAAGCTGTTGATGATACAGGATCTCATTTTCAGAAGTGCTGAGAAACTGTAATTCCCAGTGAAGTCAGAAGAAGCTCACGGTCTCTGAAAATCAGGCCCTCAGTACCTAATCATTCTGGGACAAATTGTCTCTTTATTTACATTGTCTAACTTTGAATTTCAATGGGAATTAGTTACCTACCTCATTTAGGCACATTTGTAAATCCCACTAGACACCTATCTGCATCGTTATGTGTCCAAGTGCCTTTGTAAATCTGTCCCAATGTAAATCTTGCTGTTGACTTCACTAGGAGTTGGATTGACCCCCATACACATGTAGCCTCCATTGTTTAGCATAGTTCCGAAATGAAAGTCCACCACAGGATGTGCTATGCTCAGGGGTGGATCTGTGTCAATATTTAGTGGTGCTGCACACATTGAAAATTCTCCCATGGTTGTTATGTATCCAGCATGTGTTTAATGTGGAAGATATTCCTAGAGTTCATGCTATGCATGCACATACTGCTACATGTCTTCTGCACCCTGTGGAAGGTTTTAACTCATTGCATTGTATCTAATGCCCAAAACTTGAATACTCGTCAGTGGCCTGCTAATATGGAGATATTGGGCCAAATTTTGAAAGGTATTTAGGCACTTGATTTAAATGGCTGTTAGGCATCTAGGTGCATTTGAAAATAGCAGTGGTGACTGTTTTCATCTTTAGGTGCCTAAATACCTTTAAAAATCTGGCCCATATAGCTCATGTGGGCCTTTATAGTCTGGTGATGATATCTTTGTTTAGAGCCAGAAGCATGTCTGGCTCTTTTCTTAGCTTGCAGAATTACCTAGGTAAAATTTCACCCCAGAGAACTGAACCTTTGATGCTGGAGTTTTCAAAAGGCCTCTGATCCGTGTGTACTTAGGGCCCTGAAGATAGTACAGTCCAGAGACCCTTGAAAAAATTGGCCCTTGACTCTCAAAGAGTCTGATCCAAATGGAGTCTTTCTATTAATTTCAATGGTTTGTATACATTTATATCCCATATGTAAAAGTTACAATTGTTGGCAGTATATTGGATGCCCTCCTTGTTTTATCTTGCTGCTTCACCTAGTTATTTGGCTCTGCCATTACCCCAAATGACTGAGCTGATCCTGACTGCGTCCTCCTTAGTTGCCCATATGGTACACCAAGCTACTCCTAGAAGAGCCTCAATTAAAGTATTGTCATTTAGGAACAAAGGGCCAGATTCTGATTTCACTTACATTCAAAGCCCTCGGTGGGATGGGTCCAGAATACCTAAAGGACTGCATCATAATTCAGGACCACAACCTCCCACAAAAGCTCTGTTCTTCAGGAACAATGGAACAGTCCACTTCAAGAATAAAACTCATTTGCAGGTGATAGAGCTTTCACAGAGGCTGATCCATGACTGTGGAACTCACTGCCACAGGATCATAGAACAGCCACGAACCATACCACCTTCAGGGCAAAATGTAGAGCTCACTTCATCCACTTAGCTTTCCCACACAACAACAGACAAAAATAACCCTGCTCTTTCAGAGGGATCAAGAGAGACCCACTACGAGGCATGTCTCATCTAGTGTACTGTTTTGCACGGTGCTCAGATTCCACGTTGAGGAGTTACTTCGGATTTACACCGATGTAACAGATATCATACCAGCCCCATGTCTTTTTTGTAGTGTTTCAGGACAAAAGAATATAGTTAACATTCATCAATAAAAGAAAGACGGATAGCTAGTGTGCTTCTTGCAACAGAGCTAGCTACTTTTATGAGCTCTGATATTATCATCTTATATAATGAAGTGCCTTTATAAATAATTGGAATGTGATCAACAAATCTGCTGCTGTACAAAATAGAATAGAATCCTGCTCAGTGCCTCTTTGCCTTATTAGTAAGGGTTAATAGGCATGGAAAATAAATTACAGCTGGCTGAAATTTTTCAAACACATTTTTTCCCCAAACTTTGGGGTTGGGGCCTGGGAGGGAGGAGGGAGAGAAAAAAAAAGAAGAAAAACACAAAAATGAAAACAAATATTGTGAAAACAGAAGAGAAAACAAACATTTAAAAAAAACAAAAATAGGGTCTGATTTGAACTGCAAAGTGAAAACCACTTTGAATTTTTTATTTGTTTTGTTTGTGAAATTTAATTTTTAATTTTTCAGACCACTCTGACACAAACGTATTGTAGTCACTTAAATCACAGCTCTGACTGTGATGCAAACCAGGAGCAGATCTGATGGATAAACAGGTCCCATAGTTATATACCATAGTTACTTTTCAGAGTAGCAGTTTTAAGTTTGCAGTGAATTGCATCCTATCCTTAATGGAGCATTAAAAGAACACCTTTAGCTTCCTAGATGGAGCACGTGACTCGTAAAACGGTACAGGTCCCCATGGAGCTCCCCAGGGCACGCAGATCTGTAGGAGGAATTGAAGGTCCCACAAAGGCAGCATGTTGTACTCCTGCCTTGACAGTTGTAATGAACTCAGTTGGGTGGGCTTCTGTCACATCTGGCTTTTTTTCCCCACCCTAATTACAATTACAATGATCTGAACTTACTGGAATTTCATTCCTTGATAACTCACAAATAGAGGTTAATGCAGTTTACAGATAATTGATTCTAATAAATATCAGATCAGTTTGAGAGTTTGTTATTCTTTTTGGTAGTCTTTTAAATGCGTTTGCCTGAATGCTTGTTTCTTTTAAAATGTGTATTCTGGATGTTTGAATTCTATTCCTTGTTAACTGCAGTGGTTAGATACAACCTCCCACATTTTAAACATAAAAGGGCCAGATTCTGCTCTGATTTATACCAATAACATTATTGAAGTGAGTGGAGTTACTCCAGATTTACGCCAGTGTAACTGAGCTCAGAATCTGGCCCATAATTACTTTGTTCTATTGTCATAAAAATGTGGTAACTATAACTTAACATATAATGGCTTAAATAAGCCTTAATGCTTCTGTCTTCGGGACTTTTTCTTCTCTTGGTACTGATTCAAGCTCACAGTAATTCCTTTTTACTAATAGCCTATTTTTTTCTCTTTTTGATCTGCAGGACTGTGTGCAATTAAACCAATACAAGTTGCAAAGTGAAATTGGCAAGGTATGTTAGTGTAATTAAAGTTTCTATTACAGTAGCACCCAGCAGCCCCATTGTGCTACATGCACACCCACGTGAAGACACGATCCCTGCCCTGAAGACCGATATAGTTCAAGACTATATTCAGCCTTTCTTTTCTTCCCTCTTATTTGTCTTATCAAGTTTTGCTCAAGATCAGTGTTGAACTACTTTTTCTGAAATCTACATTTATTTTCCTTCCAACTGACGGTATTGAGCTGGCTCTCTTCCAGGTGTTTCTTGCCAAATTTAACACCAAGGTCCTTTAATGAATTAATCCAACCAATGAGAAAAGAAAGATAAAGGCAGGCACTTGTTCTCCGTCAGGACTGGTTAAATCTTATTTCCATGTAGAAATTGCTGATTTAATTCTATTCTGTATTTAAAAGTCTCAGAATGATTCCAGAAGAGATTCACTGAAAGTTATTTAAAGGTCTGAATTGGTGAACAGTTCAGACACCTGCACATTTGGACTCATGCCATGTGTCTGCAGATGAATCAGTAAATGATAGTTCCCTAAAGGCTGTACTTGCTATTGCGATCTATGTATTCCATTTTGAAGTGACTACACCTGCTTCCACAGGTAGTTTCACCAAAAAGGTTATTAGCTCAAACTTCTCTAGGGCTCACAGACTCTGACCACTTCAGAGAGATGTCTTCTTACTTACAAACTGACTGTGTGGATCAGTTAAAGCATCCAGATTAGCAAGCGCCAGGTTGTAGTAGAGTAGGTGTTTCATAAGCATGCTGTGATTCTGCACTGCAGCCAGTCCCTGGGGTGGTAGTAATTACTGTGTATATCAAAACATATGTGTGGCTCATTTCCAAGTTTTAGCACCTGTTTTCTGTGACAAGAAACCACAGTTGCTGCTTTCTTTTTGTCCTTCATATGCATGCAGGAATGGGGGAAAGGGCAGTGGGTGATTTCTGTTGCTAGGCTTTGAATGTACCTGTCTAGATTAATTGTGTACGGGTACAGTACCTGGAGAGAGCAGAATCAGGGAGAGAATATTGGAGACTCTTGCTAATTCTCAATTATGCTTATCTCCAGACTTGACAATTCTCATTCACAGATATTCTCCGTGGAGTCTCCTGTCTTCTTATCTGAGAGAGCGCTCTAGGCAGTTCTCATATCACCAAGACTTTGACACACATGCAGTTTACCACAGCACATTCATTAGTGGAAGTTTACCCTAAAAAATTAAAATAGAGATTGGTCCAGGTCAGGAAGTTCAGAGAGATGCAATTCTGAAGGTGTTTGGACCTGAGTCTTTGGCTTTGCACATGATAGAGGTAGGAACCAGCTGCAAATTCAGATCTGTCTCCAGACTTTTCCAGGGTGTTTGGATCTGGGAATTCTGTTTGGGCCTCACCTCCATTTAAAGCTAAATTACATCTATCAGAATGAATGAGCAAAGCCCTTTCCTTGATTTTTTTTAAAAATTGTATTTCTTTAATTAGGGCCACATTGCAATACGCTTACTCCCCTCGTGTAGTACCTTACTCTTCCATTAGATCCATGACGGTCAATGAAGAGTATGTTACTATTCAAGGTGCATAAATGTATCACAGTCCAAGCCCTCAGTCTTGTGCAGAGGGCCCACCAAGCCCTATGCTCTCCTTAAGACCCATTTAAACCTTATTTTGGTGGCTTTAGTGGGACTTAAGTGGTAGAGAGGGCTTGTGCAGGCCTTCTACAGAGGAGTGAATTTCACCTTTACTTTCTAATCTGCCACATTAAATAATTCACAATGGGCCTGATCCATAGCCCAGTAAAGTCAATGGAAAGACTTCCATTGACTCCAGTGGGTTTTGGGTCAGGCCCAAAGCTTTGCTCACCAGCCCTTCTTGAGATTTAGGGTCTCATTCCAACTCTTAAGTCAATGGAAATGCTCCTACTAATTTCAGCGGGAGTTGGATCACACCCTTAGTGTAGTTCTTATACATGTATTTAATGGGCAACTATTGGAGGAGGAATCTAGTTATAGTTTAATATCTTGGTCTTGTAAAATGTATAGAGTTGACAGAAAACTAGATGACATTTCAGTGGTTTTACTTTGAGCTCCTACTGGAGCTGTCATGTTCCACATGCTCTAGTACTGACCTTTCCATAAACTGCAACTGACCAGGCAACACACACTCATTAGAACTGTGCCAATTAACATCAGCTGAAGATATGATCTACAAAGTGTTAATTTCTTATAAACTCCCAGCGCATGGAAAGTCCTCTATGAAAATGGTGGGGGCCTCCAGTTGTGAGGGGGTGTATGAAGGGAATATAAAAAACTAACACAGAAACAAAAAGACTTTAAAAAGAAAATGTTCCCCAATGTTCAACTTGTAATAAAAATATAACCTTGGCTCAGGGCATTTGCTGAGGATTAATAACTGGTTGGAGTTAATGGCCTGAGGCAGTTCCTTCCAGACAGTCATTAATCCTGAGGAAATGCTCTGTGCGCCATCATTATTGCCCAAATGAAATAGCTTTCAGGAGAGGAAGGACATTATCCCTGGCATTGAACATAACAATGAAGAGAAGAGAAACTCCCTTTGCCCCATATATGTCTTGGTCCATCTGAGTTGCGTTTCATAGGGGGAAGGGAGCTGCACTGTAATACACAATATGACATCACGTGAAGCTTTTGCTTGAGGCTGTTGAGTGTACTTCTTATTTTTCACTGCAAGGCCAAACATGATAAGCCTTGAGCAGCAGGCAAACAAAGCAAGGCAGCCGAACTGACTGTGTAATTTGTGTTTATTTATAGGGCTCCTATGGTGTTGTGAAACTGGCCTACAATGAGAGTGACGACAAGTATTACGTAAGTGCCTCTTTCCCCGTATTACTGGCTGGTGTTGATATTTCTGATTCTTTTTTCACATCCCAGAGAACTAGCTCTCTCCTGTTTTGTTCTGTTTTTAAATCCTTCTGAGCCACGTGGCCTGTGAATAGAAAATCAGCCTGATGGGGCATGAGGCTACACTTTTCAGTGTGTGTGATGCAGAGCAGTGTAATGTGAGCAAAACCTAGTGTGAAGTGTTATCTAATGAGTGGAGATGTTGGACACATGTTTCAGAAATAGGCAGGTAAACTTATTGCTGAGCTATCTTGACATTTTCTAGATATGAAAGAGGTCACCTGAAATGAGAGATCTACTGTGCTTCTAAAAAATCTTCCTGGAAGGAACAGGCACATTTCGTAACTGAATGTTGGGCCCTGTATGTGATACCCCTAGCAATACAACCCAGCACAGCACTGTGTGGTTTCTTTGTGACAGCACTGCATGTTATACTATTCAATTAGCAAGTCAATGTTTAGCTGTAGGGAGTGTTGCCTAGGGGAGAGAGCACTGGGGTGGGACTCGAGACCTGGATTCTATTCCGAACTCTGCCACTGGATTGCTGTGTGATCTTGAGCAAGTCACTTCCCCTCATCAAGCCTCAGTTTCCCCATTGGTAAACTGGGGATAATGATGCTTACATCATTGTAAAGTGCTTTGAGATCTACAGATGAAAATTGCTGTATAACAGGTAGGTATTATTATAATGAAGACAATGGAAAAATCAAGATATTATGGTGATGGGCTCTGTAGCAAGGCCTGCAAATAAGTAAAAATCAATCAGTCCATTGTATAGCTAATTGTAGGGTTTGGGCATAGAGAATCAAAAATGCCTCCTTAGTTCAGAACACATATAAGCACATACTTAAGTCCTTTCCTGAATTGAGGCCATAGGTTTAAGACTTCTACTTCTAAATAGCTGTTAAATCAAAAAAGTCCAATACCTGTCACTTCAGACCCACAGATAGGGTAAACCTGGAATCTCTAATCTGAACCCTTTCCAAATTTTCTAGTGAGGGGTCGATTTGACTCCATAGTCCCATACCCTTGTGTTTTTTGTTCTGGATTGGATCAAAAACCACAAAGCCGTCAATTTTTTTTATTTGGATGGATCTGAAATCTCATGAGAACAGCTGATCTTGAGCGATTTCTACCATTTTGTAGTCCTGAAATCTGATGAGAAGTCCAAATCCAAACATGAGCCCTCTTTGGACCCAAACCTTTGACAGGGTAACTGATTTGGTGGGTAGGGGGAATGCAGTGGACATAATATACCTGTTCTTCGACACATGACATTCTGATAAGTAAGCTGGAGAAATGCAGGCTTGACAGAAGTACCATTAAGTGGATATATAATTAGTTAAATAACTGCAAACAAAGAATAACTATTAATGGAATGATGTCAGATTGGAGAGACTTATCAAGTGGAATTCCACAGGGATATGTTCTGGCTCCAGTGTTGTTTAACATCTGTATTAGTGACCTGGATGTAGGAATAGAGAGCATACTGATGAAGTTTGCAGATGACACAAAGCTGGGGGTGTTGCCAGTATTATGGAAGATAGAGCTGAAATTCAGAGGGATCTTGATAAATTGAAGAATGAGGCTATAGACAATAAAATGAAATTCAAGAAAGACAAATATAAGGTGCTATACTTAGGGAAGAAAAAACAAATGCACAAATACAGAATGGGGGAAAACTGGCTTGGCAGCAGCACTGCTGAGAAGGATCTGGGAGTTGTGGTGTAGCACAACCTCAACGTTAGTCAGCAGTGCCATGCTGTTACAAAAAAAACCAAATGCAATTTTAGGTTGCATCAACAGAGGCAGAGCATGTAAGTCATGGGAAGTGATAGTTCCACTCTACTCAGTGCTGGTTAGGCCTCAGCTGGAGTACTGTATCCAATTTTGATCACCAATGTATAGAAAGTATGTAGAGAAACTCAAAAGGATCCAGAATCAAGTGACAAAGATGATCAAAGGGATAGAATGCAAGCCATACAAGCAAAGGCTGAAGGAACAGTGTATGTTTAGGTTGGAAAAGAGGAGATTAAGGGGGGATATATTAGTGGTATTCAGATACTTGAAAGGTTGCCACAAAAAGATGGAGGAAAGCTGTTCTCTTTTGCCACAGAGGGCAGGACAAGAGGCAATGGGTTCAAACTATAGCATAGCAGATTTAGATTAAATCTCAGGAAAAACTTCCTATCTATAAGAGCAGTACAATGGAACCAGACTGCCTTGGGAGGTTGTGGAAGCTTCTTCACTGAAGGTTTTCAAAAGAAGACTGGATAACCATCTGTCTTGGATGGTTTA